ATCTTCTAGCTCTTTGTCTTTGCAATCTGAAATATAAATAAATGGCTGAAATTATATGATTGCAAACCTTTCATATTCCAAATTCTTAAATACTTCCAATTGTGTTTAATTCCCAAATTTATATATACTGATATTATTACTCATTGTTAGGGTGATGGCAGCTCGTTGCAAATGAATTATTTGATAAACTGCTTCTTTACTAAGTCCCTATATTTAAATATACTCAGATGGAACATTCTAGTAACTTCTTTGTAATAATAACTCCTTGTCTTGAAAAACACTTTCAAAGAAATTTTAGTATTTTCCCACTCCATAGGAATCAGTAACAAGGCGAGATTCTCCCAAGAATATTCCAACAGTCCTTGAAAAACTAAGACTGTCACAAAACCTGAGCATCTGGCAACTCTGCCACCATGAAGTATCCATATGGAAGAGACCAAAATGTGTCAAAGTACCCAAAACGATTTTGGATAGTGTAGAAGATAGAATAAATAATTCAGTATCGTCAACACTTTCAACAGCAGGTACTGAGTATGCTACCTGCTTCTATAATGTGCCAGAATGTAACATAAGTGTGTGAGTCTCTGTGTGTACGTGTGTGAGAGAGAAAGGCAAAGAATATCAGTATACATGAGGCTAAAATTTATTTTTGTAGAGAAATATTCCTTAGGTAGTTCTCTTTGCAGAGACAGCAGATCTCTGTAAGAACACGTTTATAGATATACAGAAGAAAAAATGAAGCCAATAAAAACTTATATTTAAGATAAATATAGCAGAACATATATTACCTCAGAGTCAATGAAAAAACTGCATTAACGTAACATTATGGTTGAAATTGTATGTGCAAAAAAGTCAAAAAAATCCAAAATTATGGTTCCCTCAGCAACTATAACCATGTCCTCATGCATATGAGTATTTTGCATTATTGTAATGATGATACATTTCAGCCTTAATATCAGTTTATGCAATGTGACTGAATTAGGATTCTTCTGGGAACTATAACTTTAAATTTCTGGACTTTGGTGAATGTAAAATTTTAACTATAAAACTACATTAATATAGGGTGGGGCTTTGCATTTTATTTTCTGGCATTTAAGAAAAAAAGCCATAAAAAGTGAATGGTTGACAACATTAAAGTAGCAAAAGATTGGTTGATTTCTATTAATACAAAAAGGATTTGATAGTCTAATTCCTTAAAATATGGACATACTACAAAAAGAAATTTCCTTCTGAAGATGACTCAAAGAAAATAATAGGAAAGATACCCTTTTAGGAATGAGTAAATCTACTTTTATAAAATTTTAGTTTCTTATTAGAAGGCAATTTCATTCAACTATATTTTAACATGGACAAAAATAAAAATGCCTGAAATATTCTCTGCACACATATTCCTACATCTTATCAAGGAAAAAAGAGTATTAAAATGGTTCCTTATATTTTCAATAAAGAGGAACTGGTTGGAAGCCACTATTCCTACTTGCACAAGTAACATGGAAGGACGAAAACTGTAAAATAAAGTTACATTACTTCAACAATCTTTTTTTTTTTTACTCCAGGAATGAGGCTGATTCAAATATGATTCAGAAATGAAAAGAAACAGAAATGCAATGATCAAGTGAACCTCAAGAAAGGGGTAACCATACTTCTGCAATAACTTGAAGTGTTACACAACATGGAGTAGTTCAAAGACTAAGAATGACGTGATGAATTCTCAAAAGAAGATTCACAACCATACTTGTTTGGGGGGAAATTACAAATGCTTTCATGAAGTGAAAATTTCAAAGGGCCTCACAAATCAGGAGTTCTTCAAAAAAGGGAAAAATCTTAGATAGAAGAGTCTGTGGAAAGATCTAAAAGACCAAATCTCTAACACCTCTTAGGAGAATGAGATTGGCTGAAAGGTAGAAGATTCATGGAGGAGTCATGTGAAAAGAGAAGTTGCAAATGCAGATTAAGTATAGACTGTAGAGGACCTTCAATGCAAGGCTGACAAATTCTGAATGCAACATGGAGGCAGGGCCAAGGGGTTACTGAAAGTTCAGGCTACATATATTTTGGGAGGAGAGAAACAAAAATCAAAAATATCAAAAAAATTAAAATCCATAACAGCAAGATATAAGATATTAAAGGACGATGGAAGAATAGTTATGAGATTATCATAATAATCCCAATAAGCTAAAATGAAAGCCTGAAGAAATCTGATTTAAAAAAAAGAAAAGGTACTTTCAAGATTCTGAAATGTGAAGATTAGAAAGATCGTTCCATCAATAAAAAATATAAAAATCAAAGTTGTTGTCTCTTGTATGAAAAATGAATAATTAGCAAATCCTAAATTTAAAGTATCAGGAGATATAGAAACAAGCATTCCTCCTTCTTCACTTCCCCAACCCGTTTTGTATTTTCTTTTTTTGTTTTCTTGTTTTTTGTTTTTAGGAATTTGCAGGAAGACAGACATGCACTGAGTTGCTGAGTGTCTCTGTAACTTGCTGAAAGTACCTTTGAACTCACAATTTACCCTGCCTCCGCCTCCCCAGTCACTGGGATTGCAGATGTGTGCCACTGCATCCCTCAACCAACATTCCTTATCAAATAAATACATAGGTAGCATTAGAAATATGGTCCAGAAGACACTTATTATAATAATGAAAACTACTATTTGTTATACTTAACCTAAATTGCAGCCAGTTACTTTCACTATCTCTTTTCATCCTTCTAGGGATGATACCCAAGTTAGCTATAAAAATTAGAAAATCTAGGCTCAAAAAAGGATGACTTCTCAAAACTTACATGGGAACTAAATGGCAAAGTCAGATTGAAGACATGTATTTTGGCACCTTTGGTACAGAAATCATTCTGAAGTTAAGGAAAAGATAATCAAGAAAATAGTGAGAGAAAAGATATGTGAGATGGATGCAGAACCACAGCAAAAACCTAAGACTTACAGTAGAGACTGTTCAATAGCCCAACAGAAGACTAAAGCTTGTCAAGTGTTACAGAGTGAGGCACTCAACAGGTATTCAATATACTTCTGTCACATCATTAGCAAAAGAGGAGATAGTACTAAATAAGATCACTCTATCTGTGATAAACAGATGAAATAGTTTCTCAAACTTTTTTTCTTTAAAGAATCCAGTGTTCTCAAAAGAATTCTTAGATAAAACTCTGATATGCAAAATACATAAAAATATCCTGAGTATAGCAGGAATTGATGGTCTGGAACTCTACCTAATTCAACCTCTTTTCCCTTCCTTTGACAACCTTTTCTTTGTCAAAATTAGAGTGGTACCTGATAAAACTCCATGCAACCCAGAGAAGATGCTGGGTTGCATGGAGTTTTATCAGAAATCCTTAAAGTTAGTCATTAGTATTACATAATTTTGGATTTCTTGAGTGGAAAGATAAGGCAAACTTTAGCTGAACATAAGCTAAAATCAAGCATCAATCTCTAGATTTGATTCTTACTGGTCTCTCTGTTGCCATATTTTTCTACTAGCTTTACTTTGTTCTTGGATTTCTCTAAGCTAACACCTTTCCTTGATTAAAATCTATATCATCAGATCACTTGCATAGGATCATTGTATGGAATGGAACAGCACATTTAATTGAGTCAATTGTCTGTGACTGTCTTGCTTCAGTATCCTGTTGCAAAACGTCCCCATTTGTTGCATCCTGTAAGTAACTGGCCATGCCATATTACTTCTCATATAAGTCAGAAAATCAATCATGTAACACAAGGAGGTTAAAATTCACTAAGTGAATGCCCAAATTTGATATCAAATCAAAGTAGTTTTTGTGTTCTAATCATTTTATAGATCTGGCCAATATTTACATATATGGTTAGAGAGGAAAGGAACTGAACATCTTGGAGTTTAAAAGATGAATGGTCAATCCTGTTTTAATAACAAACTTGGCAACATTGTTCCATTTTTTTATATAAATTGTAAATGAAAAATCCAGTCCAACTGAATAGTAAAAACAGCAATCATTAAAAAAAACAGCTCAACTAATAAAAACAGTAACTATTATAAGATTTTATTATGGCAATACCTTTGCACAGATATGAAGCAATATATAAAGAAAATCAAAGCCTGATTCTTGGGTGGAAATTCATCAGTAAGTAGAATAAATGAGAAAACTCAAAGGCAGTTCACCATAGAATATTTATGCAACTCCAATTTTAATTCAGTGAGTATTGATGGACTCTTCTATTTCATATGCTACAGTTGTGTTACACCTAGATAAGACATGCACTACATCTAGAGACTTCACAGTACAAAGAAGCCTGGACGTAAAACAAAGAGTTACTCCTTTACTTCAAGTGATAAATAGTTCATTTGTAAAAAAGGATCTGAATATATCTAACAAAACTGAGTGAATTAGATAGAATGTAGCTACTTGTAAGGTGGGGCTGGTGACACATATCTATAATCCCAGCTACTCAGGAAGCTGAGGCAAGAAGATCTGAAGTTCAATGCCAGCCTCAACAACTTAGGGAAACCCTGTCCAAAATAAAAGTTTAAAATAAAGCTGGGGGCGGGGGTGGGGGGTGCAGTACAGTGAACTGTAAAGCACCCCTGAGTTCAATCACTAGTACAAAAAAAAATTAAATTAAATAAAGTAAACAAAAATAGCTAAACACAGTAGAATTTTTATTTTACTCTCAATTTTACACAGTAATTTGCTTCAGGAGAAACCATGCTCACATTGTTCTGGGTGGACCCAGGCCTCTGCAAAAGAGGCAAATAAGGAAAGAGAAGAGAGATAAGCAGACACCTCATCCCAGGGCAGAATACACTCAAGGAAACAAAAGCAGACAGAGCAACTGCCATCAGAGAAATAGTAGGTCAATAAAAGAACTAGATCCAAAGAGTCTAACTTGGTCAAGACACTAGTTGAAGTAAGTGAAGAAATCAAAAGAACCAAACAATTTTAAGGAGAAATCTCATCCAAAATTCAGGGGGTGACTCCATAAAATCTTAAGACAGATGTCAAACACTAACCTTGACTGGCAATATGCAGAGAGTAGAACCGACAGGAAGTACGAAAGGTACCAAAGGCCCAGGAGGGTCCTCCTAAGATGAAACAGAACAGTTAGAGGAAAAGAAAAATAAAAGACAAAGACGACGACGACAAAACATGGCCAAGCCAGCTTAAGTCACCAATTGAAAATTTAGGAGAGATAAAGGAAAACATAGCAAAATGAGGCAACTGAGCTGATCCCCACAATTGGCAGCCTGAAGGACTTAAGGCGTAAATGGTGAGTTGAAAGAAAGCAAGAAACCAAGCTGTGCAAATGAATCCAAAGGTCTCATAAAGGCAACTCCAAGTCACATCAATTAGTAGGTTTGGATCAAAGCTAAAGATACATCTTGCTGACTCAGGTGAGAATGGTTCAGGTATTGTACAACCCTGAACCTGCAGGTAGGGGGCACAAGTGGCCCTGACCATGCTCAGCTGAGGAAAGCTCAGGGCACAGAAACAAGATGTGGGTGAGGGGAAAGAAGTAAATAGAATAACAAAAAAAAAAAAAAAAGTTCTGAATTATAATATGTGTACTTGGTATAGACTACAAAGCAAACTCAGAATATGAAAATCCAAAAGACAAATTAATATTCTATTTATTTTTACAAAAAGAAGCTCCTCGATAATATTAAAAGTAAATTTGAAAACTTCTTAAAGCACAAAATTATAAATATACTATTAATACAATAATGTATAAGGAAGTAAAACTATAAGTTATAACAGCTGCTGGGTTTATGGATTTTCATATTTTATTTCTAAATGTTCTATCATGTAATTATATATTACTTTTATAATTAAAAAATGAAAAGTATTAACAGTAAAACTTTTAATAGCAAGCATGCTTATTTCCTTTTGAATTATTTGAATTGAAATAATTCCTACTTACAATATGTTTCTTAGGTAAAGAGCCATGTATTTATGTATGCTGTTACACATTGAAGTTCTTATAAAAAATCCCAGTAAGCAATCCCTGCACCTAATTTGTCCATCACTATAAAGTACAAATAGAGAGAGAATTTTAATTTTTTTAATTCCTTTAGTTTTTAAATAGGTGGAAATATGTGCTACTATCACCTTCCTGCAGCAGTAGGTAAAAATTCTACCAAAAGAATCATTGTGTGGGGTGTGGTAAAAAACATCTGTAATCATAATAACTTGGGAGAGAGCAACTCAGCAAAGCCCTGTCTCAACATTTTTTATTTTTTATTTTTATTTATTTTAAAATAAAAAGGGCTGAAGATGTTAGAGTACCATAGGTTCAACCCACAGTACTGCAAAAGGTCAGGGGGTTGGAGAGTGGGGGGATATTTGAATATATATGGTGATTTATGGTGTGTACCAAAACACATTATTTGGGGAACAATGCCAAAGATTACATGTTTTTTATAGAGCAACAATCATGTCACTAAAAGTCCATAATGTGGAGAAACAATGTTTAACAATTGTTTTTAATAATATTTTAATAGGACTGAAATTGAGATTATAGGGTCTTAAGGAAGACTACCTGGGTGTACCATGGAACCTGAGGACAGAATAACTAGGTCTACCATGGACTCTCAAGGGAAACCACCCATCTACTATGGAGTATTAAGGTAATTACCTGTGTCTGCCATGGACCATGAAGACAGACTACTCAAGCACACCATGGACAATGATGGCCCACCATCCAAGTCCATCTAGACTATGAAGGCCCACTACAAAGTGGACTACAAAGGCCTACTTCCTGGGTTTATTATGGACTGTGAAGGTACACTGCTGAGTCTATCATGGACTGTGAAAAGGTCCACTTCCCATGTCTATCATGAATTGTGAAGGCACCATGTAAATCTACCATGAACTCTGAAGGTGCTGACCAAAACTATCATGGATAGACACTATCCAAGTCTATCACAGACTGTAAAGGCCAATTGCCTGAGTCTATCAAGGGCCCTGAGGGAACATACCCAGTTCTACTATGGGATGCTTACAGGAGAGCCCCTAGGGTCTACCACAGACTCTGAGGATGGAAATACTTTTTCACCAACTACTAGTTATATAATTTGGGGGCAAGTTCCTTGCCTATTCTCTACCTTCACTTCTTCATATGATAAATAGAGCTAATAACAGTAGTCCCAGATGGTGGTATGAGGATATGTAATGCTTAAACCAGTGCTTGGCATATTGTAAGCATTATATAGCATTTTGAGACTACTCACCATTATTAATCAGTTTTTTTTTGCAAAGAAATTCCAATTAAATGGTAAACCAAAGTTCAAAATACTGCAGTATCTCTGAGCTTCTTTATTCATCATTCTATAGTTTTTCCTCTATTATTTTTTGTTTTATAAAATGTCACCAAAATTTATAGAAAACTCTTCTGCACATGCACAGCATTTGACTAAATTACTCCTGATCTTTAGGAGATAACCATTTTCTAGAACTACTGCAGTTTAAAAACGTCCTACAACTGAATTTATGGAAAGAACATTTTGTCTATCTTCTTTCCAAACATGGCATGTGATGATTCAATTTGGTTGACATTTGGATTGACAGCAATTGAAAGCTCATCTGGGAATAATCTTTTTCCCTTGGTCAATCGTTTTTGAGTAAGGAGTGAAAAAAGTAAAATTATATATATTGCCAAAATCATTATATGGACCGCCTGTGAATCCTCTTGCCTGGAATACAGTGTTCTGTATATACAATCCATCCAATTCTAAGAACTTCAAGAAAACAGTCTATCGATTCAGTTCAAATCATATTTTCATACACTATTTTGGTGCTAAATACATGATGTTTTTAAAAGATTCTGTTTGGTTCATACTTCACTTTTTAAAAAAAAAGTGTTCAAACTTAAGCAAAAGTAGAGTTCATTTCTATTTTTGCTTCTTAAGTTGAGTTTGTTTAGTATATAGCATAACCATAATTTCTGTACTAAGGTTTCAGGGCCACTTACACACCCCTCCCTGGCTCCTAGATCAGAATTTTGAACTTAGATTCCACCAACCTTCAGAAACTCAAGTGTCTATGGAACCTCTTCACTCGTCTACAATGCAACCATTATCCTATTGAAGAAATGTGCTCTTCTGCTGTATTTATTGCTGCAGTTGAAGGAACAACTATTCACCAAATCAGAAACCTGATTCATCTCCTCCTTTTATCCATTCTTCCTAATGCCCATAAACAACCTATTAATGAAAACTATTTTATAGTCTGAATATTTCTTAAAACTGTCCTTTCAATATCATCCTTATTCATAAACTTACATAGTGATGCCTGGACTACTGCAAAAGCCAACCCTAAGTAATCTTACTCTCAAGGCTGTCTTCCAACAAGTTCACTCTGAACCAGGTTCTCCCCTGAATGCAAGTCCTTTAAGTTATTATGTAAACTGTCAATGTGCATTGGTCACCTTGCTCTGTAAGCTCATTTCCTGACCCATCTATCACCCTTAGAGATTCAAGCATAATGAAAGGACTGTGGTTCCCTGTACACACTAGAGTGCTTTCTACCTCCATGCCATTGCTTTCTAATTTACATAGTATGCCACTGTCTTATGTCTCATGCTCTCCTTCTCAAAAAAACACACCAAATTCTTTAAGTCATTTAATAATAATCAATTATTCAATAATCAATCATAAATCCATTTAATAATCAATAATTTCCATGAAGGCTTTCCAGAGTCTTCTATTAACACATCAGTTGGATTATGTACTCCACTAGAATGGCACTCTCTCTTTGTATTTACTCAGCTAGAACATGAACTTTTTGCTACCAGTTTTCAACTAGTCAATGAAGATCTTAATGTACAACTTTTCACTCACCTTTGCATCCAGTTTCTAGCTCTTAATATTATGTCAAGGAAATGAATGCATGTGACTGTGTGTGTGTGTGTGTGTGTGTGTGTGTGTGTGTGTGTGTGTGTGATGCGTGAGTCCTAAGCTTTGGTCATCACACAGTCATATATCAAATGTTGATATAAATAAGATAAATAGAAATCAATACAATAAATATACTGCAGTTTTGTGACAGTATTTCTTTAACAAACAGAACAGGAAACCTATGAATTTGCATTTCCTATACGATTTATATTCATGTTAAAGTCAAACTGCTAATTTTAGTCTTCTATTTCAACAATGATTCTAACAGTCCTCAGGCTCCACAAGTAGTTTTTTAGCTTTTGCAATCATAATCAAATTCTCCACCCTTTTCTTCACCCTATAGCTTATACTACAGCCAAAGCAGACTCTTCATCACTACAAAAAGCACATATTTGTGCCTCTACCTTTGCATAAACAACATTCCATTCTAGTCTCCTAGAAAACATATGATCCCCAAAAGCTTCAAGTGGTCCACCCTAGGGACCATGAATCATTTTGTCAAGTTTTTACTTTCAAAATGTTTGCCCACTTCTCTGGCATATCATTGCCTTTGCAATGAATTTGGCCTCCCCATCTATACGATAAGCTCTCGCTCTTTCCATGCAAAATGCCTGTGACATAGATGTTCAATAAGTATTAATCTAGTATATTGTCCATCAATTCATTCCTATTCCCACACATTGAAATCATGAAAAACATTTGTCTTTAGCCACACAATCTCCTCTTTAAATAACTATCCCAATGAAAACCCACTCAGTCGTCCTTATGGTTTCATGGCTTGTCTTCTAGTGTAGATCTGCAATTTTCCTAGTCATCTGAACTCTAGTTCTTTATTTCCATCGGTCCATCAGAAATACCTATTTGGATATAATGTTTCTCCTTTAAATCCGGTGTACTAAGTCATTACTTTCCTCCCCTAACATTCCTTGTCCTTTTCAACTTCACCCTGTCTGCCAAGAGCATGCTTGATCCCTGAGGCTGCTCTGAAGGCGTATTTTATAATCCCTTTATGATTAACTCCTGTTACAAGGTATCACTTCCTATGCTCATTTTTATTATAAATAAAACTGCTAACTTTTGCCTATTCTCCCACATTCCAACACTGGGTTTTTATCAGCTGAGGCCACAAAGATGGAGTATCTTCTTAACTTATTTCCCTTTCTTCCAACTCTTTTCTAAAATCATGTTAA